ATGCCCCCATTCCCATAAATACAGTAGTAAATACTGTATGTTGGTCTGCAGTTGAAGATTCATAGTGAAATTCCCTTGACTCTTAGCAGTTGACTACTTCTTCTACGTGCTGCTAACAAATCTTATATGTGTTGTTCTTGTCCTAAGTATTATCATTCATTACCAGCCTTCATGTGATTATTCTATTCAGTAACCTTCCCTAGGTTACAATACTATTACAACTGCAGATGTGAATAGCAATGTTTCCATAAAAAGATTGAAACATGCAGTTGTCCCAGAAACTGTGGAAATACCTAATATTGATAAAGCAATAACAGCACAAAGACATACCTCACCAGATATCAATATGACTAGGGAGACAAGGCCGCAAAGCACAACAAGAACTAAATTCCTTATTTTGTTTTGTCAAAATTACCCATGTGTTTCCTTGTCATTATCATCCTTTATTAATCTTATTGGCGTGGGTAAATCAACTGTTCATTTTATCCCCTAAACCCCATGTCACTATACAACTATCAAATCAATCAAATATCTTTACTCCCCACCACAAACTTCAGAGCCAATTATCTGATTTACATGTTAATAAATATTTAAAATTTCTTGGAAATTTGAAAACATCCAATTTAGAATATGAAATGTTTGCATTGCAATTCTGAAGCATTTTTCCTTTGAAGGGTGTTGCTTAGGAACATATTGGCATGTAGTAAAAACAAAAAAAAAAACAAATTCTTTTCACTCTTCATTTATTCTGATATCACTGTTGTAACAAAATAAGTATTCTTCAATCAAAATGTGTAGAATTTGTAAAATCACTTTGGAGGAAAGAAAGGTTTGTAAACATTTCATGGTTTTCAAAAGGGTAAGTAAATTTCATAATATTTGATTTAATTTTTTTTAAATTAAAGACAGTTTAATACCTAAGGACTGATAAATTATTAATAGTTAAGTGTATTTGCTCAATTTTATATTTAAGTACAAGTGAGTTTAAATCTTAACATCTGAGACAAAAACATTATGACTACCTGCCAAATAAGGTGTTAGTATTCCATATATCTTCAAAACAACTTTTAACCAATTAAGCATGAATTCTACAAAACCTCTAAAGATTTTCTCTGCAATATGGTAGTGTAATGTCTACAGAATGAACTGGTTGGTCACACACATCCCACATAGAATTTAGATATGTGGCACTTGGTGGTCAGGGCAACACATTGAAGTTTTCTTTGTGTTCTGAAACCATTCCCAGATAACTTGTACTGTGTGCATTGTGCTGGGGAAAAATGCAGCTGCCATCTTCAAAGACTGTTGCTATGAAACCCCATACCATCATATTGCCTCCGTTGCTTTACCACAGTGCTTCTCTAGGAGAATGATGCACATATACACTACCATTTAACTTATTCAGGAAAAAGTATAATTCATTGATGCTGGTGACTTTCTTTTTTCAAGTGTTTGCATGTTCATTGCAGATGTTTACAGTGATTGACATCAGTCAGCAGTGCCTCCCTAATTGGTTTGTAGCTGTGCAGTCCTGTATGCAATAAGAAGTAATATACTGTGTGTTGTGACACGTTTCTCCTTTAACCTTGATTAAAGTTATCTGCAATTTGTACTCTTCTGTTGGCTCATACTAGACAAGAAAGACTTCTTACATCAACAAATCTTATCTGTTCAATGCCTTGTCAGTGGTCGGTGATTTTTCCTTCTCAGACCATTACTGATAGGTATGCATCACAGCTGAAAATGAACAATTTACAAGTCATGCTGTTTTGGAAATGCCCAGTTTTAGTTTTCTGGCCATAAAAATTTGTTCTTTGACAAAGACATTCAGATCTTTCTTCATGCCTACAACTGCAGCATTCAGCACAGCGAAATAAAGTACTGAAGGCCAGCTTACTTGCTTAAATATTTCTGACAGGTACAGTTTTTATGAGATATTCTTACTATAGTTCACCGGTTATAATATCATCAGTTTATAAATTAAAGTAAACAAAATCGTGAACTTACAGTAGAGGGGAGATAACCCTTACAGAAATTCCCGTTGATTAATTCCCTTCTACCAGCATTACTGTAACTCTATATTCCTGAAAATAAACTTACTCTACTCCCGCCACTATTTTTATAATATAATAAACATTTACTGCAAGCTATTGAATACTGTCGTTCTGTTTTCTGCCATAGTTTCCACCAAGATCTTAACAATAGATCTAAGTTGTATATAAATAATTGTATTTTTGTTGATAGGATGTAGAAGAAGAGAAATAAAGAAAAAAATGTAATCAAAATAAATTGAGGAAAATACAACAAAGACATGTGTATTAATTCAACTCTGCAACAAAATTTAAATATAAGATATTTTTTATAGATAGTAGATAAATTTAAAAAAAACAAAGAAAATGGTGGCAAAGTAATCTCAAATAATTTTTTTATAATTGATAATTTTAAACAATTGTTAATCAGTTCGATTAATGATGAGCTTCAATTTCCCAACAACCATCCAAGATTAATTTATCAATAAGCGATGATTTTTAGTTCAAATTAATTGAAAACTCCTTCCAATATGTTTTACATTTTTATTTCTTTTTAAAAAAATACCACCTCTGTCTCAGTAATGAAAATAAACTCAATGGTAAACTTCCAAATTTTACAAACAAATAGAAGATTAATTTGATTAGACTAACACAGAAGTTGCTACAAATAACTTGAACAGTCAGAAATAAATAATCAGTTTGATTTTCTTTTAAAGACTATACACAGCAAACAAAGCAAATAGTATCCATTATAATACAAGTTAAGACAGATACCATCTATAATATACAAAGTATATTACAATCCTATAATGATTGTCATGTTTAGTGTATGAAATGTGTATACAAAAATAACAGATATTATGCAACAGAGGTAGTATATCATTATATATATATATATATATATATATATATATATATATATAGTCATCCACATACAAGCCTGTTTCGCTGTATCACAGCTCGTCAGAGTGGCTAGACATCCAATTGCTTCAAGCAGGGATCAAAACCTATCGAAATACATCAGTCAGAGATTCTACCCCTAAGCTATCAGTGCATGACAGAGAAAGGGAAATTTTAATGTATTATATACGCGATGTATACAAACACCAGCAGCCAAGAGCACTCATTTTGTAACTGAAGAGTGATGCATTAATAGCAGGAGCAGTGACTGTTTTTAAAATTACTCTTTCTCTACAGTGGTCAACTGTTTATAACAAGAGCATAGTCACACACACACACACCTAATATAATATTTTTATATATTTAATGTACTAGACATGACAGCCATTATGGAAGGGAGATACTATTTAGTAAAATATTATTTAGTAAAATACTTGTAAACAATTGAAACAAGCTATTCATTTATACACAAAATTATAAAATAACTAAAAATTCTAATCTAAATTTTCTCATTTGCAAATATAAATATTTTAACATAAAATTGGAAATTGCACAAATTTCAATAAAAGTGTTTTATGGAATTCACACAATATTAGAAAATGCACAAAATTTTCTTAAAAGGTTAAAAATGAATCAGGATTTATTTCTGTTTAAATTTTTTAAAAATGTCTCCAGAACAAAACAATATTTTGTTTGTCAGAATGCCAAACCAATTCAAGAAATATATCACAGGAAGATTGTGCTCCACTAATCTTGAAAATGGAGATGACCTGCTTACTTAAAAAAACAATATTCAGTATCCTGACTTGTGATTGAACATTGACCTCTGACCACACAACTATACCATCAACCAACAATCAAATCATAAAATGTTACAAATATTATTTATAAATATGTAGCTTTCAGGATCATTTCATGTTTATTGCATATTCCCAAGTTGTTGACATTTACTAAGCTTAACTAGTCTGGCACAAGGCTGCCAATATTTGTGCAGTTTGAATTTACTCTGGATTTTAAAAATATCTTTTATTTGATCAAAATCATTTGATAAAGGCAATTTTTGAGCTCTCACTACCCTCATTTTACCTCCCAAGAAAAGAAGTCAAAGTCTTTGGTGATTAGCCACACATTCATAATACCAGTACATTAGATGCAGTATTTTTTTTTTTAAAGTTTGTTATTGGCCAATAATAATGTTGAATGAATTTAAAAAAAAAAAAAAAAAAAAAAAAAAAAAACAGGAGTTATCTTTTAAAAATGTATTTTCTGTTTTCTCAAATTTAAAACTCATCTACTTTTTCACAATGTCATTGAAAGTTGTTTTGTTAGCCATTCATTTTGAAGTTTGGATACTAGAGGAAAGGGTTCAAATAGAACTCGCCCTTCAACTATAAAAATGGGAGACTGGTTCTGAATGAAATGCAGTCATGTGGAGTAATGGATAGCGGCTCGGATTGAGGAATCAAAGAGCTGAATTCAAATTCCAGTCGAATCCATTACATACACTTACATGCTAATACCCTTGGGAAAGGCATGAATTCTCTTCTTCTCTCCCTAGCTATGGGTAAATAGCAAGACAGACCAGATTCTATAACCTTGGATGGCAACTGGTCTACTGCAGAAAGAATTGGCAACCTACTGCAGGAAAAAATCTGCCTCATCAGTCATGTATCAAAAGATACATGATCGCCTAAGCATGTATCACGTATGGCACATAACTGACTGACAAGTAATTTGAAAAACTAAAGCATTTCAGTTTAATACAGATGTTGTTAGCAACAGTGCAAATAAAAAATTTTTTGAACATATTAAACCTTTAAAAATTTATTCCTGGAGAAGATGCGGATGATGGCCTTCTATCTTAAATGATAAGAAAATCTCAAGATATATTGTATGGGTCACCATTAGCCAAGCATGCTTTAAGTGGTCAGTGTTTTTACATAAATCAATTACCACCTCAATCCTCATTGGCTGTCCCCAAATGTGCTATTATAGTAAAAGCTAAGCTTAGACATTTTCTAGAATGATTATCTTTAATCCCATACTAAGGATTTGTTTGTCTTGTTTCAGATATTGGGAAGCCATTAAAAAATGGGATGAAGCAATCCAATTGACCCCCAGCAATGAAGTTCTTTATGAATTGAAGGCTCAGGTAAGTTAAGGCTATGGTTTACTACCAAGCATATTTACCTGGCTAAAATTTGAAGATTGACTTGTTTATGGAACAAAACTTTTTTTTTAAATAATCTACTAAATAACTGGTACTAGAAAATATTTCTTTTATTAATTAAATAAAGATACTACTATTCACTGAGTATCTTTTTGTCATTGTGAATTCCCCCTCCCCCACAAGAAATATTCATTTTATCCTAAAAATTAAAAAGAAGGAATATAAATCTATTTTAAATTTTGGAAACTCTGAAGATATTCTTTCTTTGCAAGAAAGAAATATGTCATATGAACATGTTGAACAGATAAATAACAAAGTGGAAAACATTTTAATTTGTAAAATTAAAATTTTTATGTAACATTGCTTACTTTCATAACTAGCAAAGGTTACAGCAGCTTTCCATTTTTTTTTTTTTTTTTTTCTGTTTTGCTAGATCTTCTATGTACTCACTATCTCTCCACCGTTTATCATCTATGCACCAGGTATGGGGAAGTGAAATAGTCTCATAAGCCAAGTGGATTCAGTCCTCACTGGCTGCTCTACAAAGGTGACCTTGAGCAAATTTTAGTTTGAAGTAAAAACATCTGCCAAAGAATAATTTAGATGCTTGTCTCAACAGCCATTCTTAGTGAATTGGGTCCTCATTATGAGTTTCATAAAAGTCAGTTGATTATTTCTAGCATTTCTGTTAAGTAAATGAAATTGTGAAGGAACTAGAAACAAAAAATTGGATTTGAGATCTTACTAAATGAGCTTGTTGTATGGACATAAAAGGAGGAGGTAAGAAGTGCAGATTATGGGGATATGTAGGATAGATAATGGTTGACCTTAGACTTGAAGATGCTAACCCTTTGAGCCCTGACCCATTTTACTCGTGGTAGAGAAAAATGACTTAATGCCCAGTCACCGGTTAAACAGTGGTAGAGAAAAATGACATAATATCCAGTCACCGGTTAAACAGTGGTAGAGAAAAATGACATAATATCCAGTCACCGGTTAAACAGTGGTAGAGAAAAATGACTTAATGCCTAGTCATCAGTTGAACAGTGATAGAGAAAAATGATGTAATGCCTAGCCACCGAATGAACTGTGGTAGAGAAAAATAACTTAATGCTCAGCTACCGGTTGAATGGTGAGTAAACACTTGTGACAATTTTTATATCTACTGTGAAACATTACATACTTTATTATTTGCGAATTTTGATTCTGGAGCTGAGGCAGAAGGGTTAAAATTATTCAGGAACACAAGGCTCAAAGGGTTAAGATTGTTGTGATTAGGGAAGCATCTTCTCAGCAGTCTTTTCCATAAAGTAGCAGTCATTGGGAAGAAGCTGCCTAATTGGAATTTCCTTCTTACCAATGAAATATGAGAGGAATGGAGATGGTTTGTCTCTATGTCTATGTATGGCAGATCTGTAAATAAAAGAAAGTCTCCGTAATCCAAAGAAGAATTTGCACTTGCTTTACCCCATTCATCACAACCATCCTTGTATTTCTTTTCAAAGTGAACAGTAATGTTGATAATTATTCAACAAGTTCTTCATACATATCCTTGTGTTTGCAATTGTTGTTTTGTCCAATGCATTCTTTTTATTTGGACTGACTAGTAAAGCAGATTGTCTCCATTTGCAAAAACATCTGATGTTCCATTTCTAGGAGACAGGAAAATAACTCTAGCCAAATTAGTCATACACACCCTTGTGCAAATTAATTGAAACAAAACGTATAATTCCATTATTATTTACTTTTTTTCGTATTTTTCTAATGAAACATGACCCAGTGCACATGTTAGTACTTCGTATGTCCATTCCACAAAGTCATTCTTTGCAGGTTGACCACAGATTCTCGATTGGATTTAAATTGGAAGAGTTTCCAGGCCAATCTATAGTACTTTGATTTGATCACTGGTAAGGCTTGCCAATGTGTCCATGCAGCATTACAATTTTCTTACGCTTCCTTGGAGTAACATCCATTGCAGACAATGGTCATAGGACAACTAATTGACAGTTGAGACAATAGTGTCTGGGCATGATAAAAATATCATGTAATCATGGATGAAGCAATATTTTTCAAGGCCAAACAAATTTCATCATACATCCCAAAAATAGATTCATATTACTGCACACCACTGCAAATGACCTAATCTGAGGAAAAAATAGAAATCGATTACACCCTGTCACTCCAGTGGGTCTAAAACTGACTATATGGTGAAAGAAAGGAAACTAAAGCAGTTGTTTCAATCAATTTGCACATGAGTGTACTTTGGACAAATTGTAAAGTTAAAAGCAAAAGGTTTCATTCATTTGTGGAATAACAACAATTCTTTGACTTGTTCAAACTATTGCTTGCATCTTTGATTGTTTGTTACAAACTTGATGTTTTGGCCAAGTACTCTCAGGCCATCTTCAGGTGTTTGTTTCTTTGGCTCTGTACAGAATGCCAATCATGTGATGCTAATACTTGTTTTTAACTGTGATCAAAGAAATTCATTTAACTGATTCAAATTTTTATTCAAACAATAGTGTAACTAATCCATAGTATATTGAAAATTCTTGTTTCAAAATTCAAAGAAAATGACAATAACTCATTTAAAAATTAACAAGAAACAAGAAAACCCTTCCTAATAATGATGAGTTGTATTTCTTTAAAATCTAAAATTACATCTTGTATGCTATAAAACTCCCTTGGTTGAATCAACCAATGAATTTTTCTCAAAAAGGTAAAATACATAAAAACAATAACTTCAGTTTTATTTAAAACATGTTTCTACCTCTGACTATATTAATTAGCATGATCTTGGAATTGCATGGTGCATCTTTACAATTTAGAAATTGGACAAAAAGTAATTTATATCGTCTTAAGGATACAGAAATAAGAAACTCATCCTTTACTGTCTTAAATCTTAAATGCATAAAATGGGTTCCCCTGCAACATAAATGATCTCCATAGTCATTTACACTAACCAGAATTGATTATAATTGCAGGTATAGTTCTAGCACTATTATGACTACAATACTGACAAAAAACTTAAGGGAAAGGTTTTCCTGTAAATTCTTTATTTTAAAAAATTTACTATAAATGATTTCAATCCCAAAATTTTATAATATGTAACAAGAATATTTAGGATGACACACAAGAGTTTCAGTTTTTGTCAAATGTTTAGTGCAGACAGTTTTCTGGCATGTTATATACGGGTGATGCTTTTTGATCAGAAATTCACTGGTAGCTCCTTTTTGTTGTTGATTTTCGTTGTATTGCTTCTTGTTCTTTCAACATCAAGTGCTGGAGTGAAATAGCATATAGTCATTACATCTTGAATTGAATGAGTCAGGCTAAAATGTTTTTTACCAAATCTAATTTAAGGTATTATCATTCCAATGAAGGAACTTGTGAACATAGGTTAACAAAGGAATTAATGCCACATAAATTCAATTGGCTCATAAATATGTCAGAGGTAGTTTTGTTTTGATTTGGATGCTGTAAACAGAGCAGAACTTATCAAGTGTATCAACAAAACCACATTTGTCTGATTATGAAATGAAAAGTTTGCTTTGCTTCTTTCTGGATCAACTTTCTTATTGTGGTTCATAGGAGAAAAATACAACACTTTTGACCTTTTAAGTAATAGCAACAAACACTGTGCCATTTTTAAAACCAGAGAATACTAATCCAACATCATGTGTTCTATTACCTTACAACTCTTCAAGAATATCAGATTTATTTCAGATTCCAGGGTAAAATTGGTAAAATAATTGTCTTTTCTAATATTATATTCAGAATGAAACAGGTTTTCAGCAAAGGAATTGACAACTTTTGAAGTCAGACTTCTTATAGGTTCCCTTTCAATATCACCTGGGAAAATGTATCCTGTATTTGTAATCAACTAAGAATAGTTTAATTCTATGCTTTATCAGGTTTTAATGGTAGGTACCAATGAAATAGTCTACGGAATAGAATGTGTTGTTTGCTAATGCATACTTCAGCTAATGGGCTGTAATTTGGAAATTAAAAGATTCTAGACATCCATAAATGTTGCAAATTTATGCTTCACTTTTTTTTTTTTTTTTTTGTATCAAATCTATTTACAGACAATGTAGCTTAGCAAACAAGCGTTCCAAAAGGACCCTAATTCCATAACCACCTGCTATTTCCCTGATTTCTCTAGAGACACTGAGCAGGTACAGAGAACCAAAAAAAAAGTCTTTTAATTCCATTAAATCTATTTTGGTTCCATTTTACTTTTGTTTTTTTTACAATCACTCGCTGTGCATGCTTGTTTGCCAAATTCAAAATCCTGGATAGTATTTCTCTTGGAAAGATGACTTGAAGCACTGTATAATGTGGTGCTGAAAAGATTTTGCTTTGACCCATTTCCCAAAATCTTTCTGAAGCTAAAAGCAGGGAATAAATTACATTCTTCGCAATAATACGACCCCCTGTTTCTGCGGTTAAAAACAGAGAATAAATATCCTGACTACTGCCTTCTTTATGTCATTGTTTTTTTTTTAATGATGTACCATATTATCCATATGAACCTCAATATTATGTATATATTTCACTAGAATATTTAATTTTTCACAAATTTTCATTTTAAAGAATAGAAATGAACTGGGTATTTAGCCATTACATGTCTCTTCGCATAATTTCCATTTCAAGACTTATTTTTTTTTAATTTTCTGGGCTCCATGCTAACTAAACGTACCTGGTAATACATTTTATGGTTTTAATCTATCATACTTTTCTGTTTTATATGATGTATTATATTTGTATATATTAATAAACTCTGAATATAAAAAATATTATATTTCATTAGGAATGAAAGGAAAAAAGGTTTAAAATAAACAAATTTTATGTTGTGAGCAAAACTGAGAGCATTTGCAACTTCGTTGTTTCAAATAAGGTTTTTTAAACTGAGTAAAAAAATTTTAAAACGGCTACTTGTGTATAATATGATCCCACATGCATTTTTTGCCTTTAATTTT